CCCGTGTCACCCAGCACCACCAGGGCCGCTCGTGTCACCCCACGCCGCTGGGGCCACTCGTGTCACCCCCTGTGCCCTCCTTGTGCCCACCCTGACCCTTGCACACCCCCCATGTGCCCACCCTCTTCCTTGCACGCCTACCATGGCTCTTGCACGCCCACCATGCTCCTCACACAGCCACCATGCCCTCCATGTGCCCACCCTGCCCCTTGCACACTTACCCTGCCCCTTGCACGCCTGCTGTGCCCCTTGTGCCCACCCTGCCCCTCCCATGCCCACCCTGTCCCTTGCACACCCACCATAGTTCTTGCACACTCCCCGTGCCCTCCATGCGCCCACCCTGCCCCTTGCACACCCACCGTGCCACTTACATGGGCACTGTCCCCCCGTGTGCCCACTCTGTCCCTTGCACACCCACCGTGCCCTCCATGTGCCCACTCTGCCCTTTGCACACCCACTACACTCTTGCACCACCCACTCTGCCCCTTGCACACCTGCTGTGCCCCTTGTGCCCACCTTGCCCCTCCCATGCCCACCCCTGTCCCTTGCACACCCACCGTGCCCTCCATGTGCCCACTCTGCCCTTTGCACACCCACTACATTCTTGCACCACCCACTCTGCCCCTTGCACACCCATTGTGCCCCTTGTGCCCACCTTGCCCCTCCCATGCCCACCCCTGTCCCTTGCACACCCACCGTGCCCTCCATGTGCCCACTCTGCCCTTTGCACACCCACTACATTCTTGCACCACCCACTCTGCCCCTTGCACACCCATTGTGCCCCTTGTGCCCACCTTGCCCCTCCCATGCCCACCCCTGTCCCTTGCACACCCACCGTGCCCTCCATGTGCCCACTCTGCCCTTTGCACACCCACTACATTCTTGCACCACCCACTCTGCCCCTTGCACACCCATTGTGCCCCTTGTGCCCACCTTGCCCCTCCCATGCCCACCCCTGTCCCTTGCACACCCACCGTGCCCTCCATGTGCCCACTCTGCCCTTTGCACACCCACTACATTCTTGCACCACCCACTCTGCCCCTTGCACACCCATTGTGCCCCTTGTGCCCACCTTGCCCCTCCCATGCCCACCCCTGTCCCTTGCACACCCACTAAAACCCTCCACGTGCCCACTCTGCTCTTTGCACACCTGCTACACCTCTTGCACCACCCACCATGCCCCTTGCACACCCATTGTGCCCCTTGTGCCCACCTTGCCCCTCCCATGCCCACCCCTGTCCCTTGCACACTCATCATAGTTCTTGCACACCCACCATGCCCTCCATGCACCCACCCAGCTCCTTGCACACCCACCACACCCCCTGCACGCCCACCATGCCCCTTGCACACCCACCATGCCCTCCATGTGCCCACCTGTCTGTTGCACACCCACCATGATTCTTGCCCACCCTGCCCTTTGCACGCCCACTACACCTCTTGCACCACCCACCATGCACACCCACTGTGCCCCTTTTGCCCACCTCGCCCCTCTGATGTCCACCCCTGTCCCTTGCACAGTCACCATAGTTCTTGCACACCCACCGTGCCCTCTATGCACCAGCCCTGCTCCTTGCACACCCACCGTGCTCTCCAGCTTTGCACACCCACCACACCCCCTGCACGCCCACCATGCCCCTTACACACCCACCCTGCCCTCCACGTGCCCACTCTGCCCTTTGCACACCCACCGCACCTCTTGCACCACCCACCATGCCCCTTACACACCCACTGTGCCCCTTGTGCCCACCTTGCCCCTCCCATGCCCACCCCTGTCCCTTGCACACCCACCATACTTCTTGCACACCCACCAGCTTTGCACACCGAATGCACCTCCTGCACACCAATCATGCCCCTTACACACCCACCGTGCCCTCCATGTGCCCACCCTGCCCCTTTGCACGCCCACTACACTCTTTCACCACCCACTCTGCCCTTTGCACGCCCACTACACCTCTTGCACCACCCACCGTGCCTCTTGCACACCCATTGCACCCTTTGTGCCCACCTCGCCCCTCCCATGCCCACCCTGTCCCTTGCACACCCACCATAGTTCTTGCACACTCACTGTGCCCTCTATGCACCCACCCAGCTCCTTGCACACCCAGCACAGCCCCTGCACGCCCATCAAGCCCCTTAGACACCCACCATGCCCTCCACATGCCCACTCTGCCCTTTGCACACCCACCGCACCTCTTGCACCACCCACCATGCCCCTACCTTGCCCCTCCCATGCTCACCCCTGTCCCTTGCACACCCACCATAGTTCTTGAACACCCACCATGCCCTCCAGCTTTGCACACCCACCACACCTCCTGCATGCCCACCGTGCCCCTTGCACACCCACTAAAACCCTCCACGTGCCCACTCTGCCCTTTGCACACCCACTGCACCTCTTGCACCACCCACCATGCCCCTTACACACCCACTGTGCCCCTTGTGCCCACCTTGCCCCTCCCATGCCCACCCCTGTCCCTTGCACACCCACCATAGTTCTTGCACACCCACTGTGCCCTTTATGCGCCCACCCTGCCCCTTGCACACCCACCGTGCCACTTACATGGGGACTGTCCCCCTGTGTGCCCACTCTGTCCCTTGCACACCCACCGTGCCCCCCATGTGCCCACTCTGCCTGTTGCACACCCACTACACTCTTGCACCACCCACTCTGCCCCTTGCACACTCGCCGTGCCCCTTGTGCCCACACTGCCCCTCCCATGCCCACCCCTGCCCCTTGCACACCCACCATAGTTCTTGCACACCCACCATGCCCTCCAGCTTTGCACACCCACCATGCCCCTTGCACACCCACCATGCCCTCCATGTGCCCACTCTGCCTGTTGCACACCCACCACGCTCTTGCACACCCACTAAAACCCTCCACGCGCCCACTCTGCCCCTTTGCACACCCACTACACTCTTGCACCACCCACCATGCCCCTTACACACCCACTGTGCCCCTTGTGCCCACCTTGCCCCTCCCATGCCCACCCCTGTCCCTTGTACACCCACCATACTTCTTGCACACCCACCAGCTTTGCACACCCAATGCACCTCCTGCACGCCCACCATACCCCTTACACACCCACCGTGCCCTCCACGTGCCCACTCTGCCCCTTTGCACACCCACTACGCTCTTGCACCACCCACCGTGCCCCTTGCACACCCACTACAACGGCCACTGTGCCCTCCCTTGTCCCTCGCACGGGTGCCCGTTGCACTCACTTGTGCTCGCAGTAGGGACCGAAGTGACCTTGGGGACACTCGCACATGTAGCCGTGCGCCGTGCCCGGTTTGCGGGTGCAAGTGGCCGGGGACTGGCAGGGGTTGAGGGCACAAGCGCTGACACAACTGTCACCGAAGTAGCCTGGGCACGAGGAGGGGGCAGGGGTGGGGAGAGGGGAGGGGGTGTCACCAGGGAGGGTGGCAGTGACATGGGGACGGTGACACGGGGGTGGCAGCGTCCTGGGGATGGTGACAAGGGTGGAAGTGTCTTGGGGACAGTGATGGAGGTGGCAGTGCCCAGGGGACGGTGACAAGACATGGGGACAGTGACAGGGGGGTGGCAGTGCCCTGGGGATGGTGACACGGGGGTGGCAGTGCCCAGAGGACAGTGACAAGGGTGGCAGTGTGCTGGGGACAGCAATGGACATGGCAGTGCCCTGGGGAGAGTGACAGTGGGGACAGTGACAAGGGTGGCAGTGCCCAGGGAGGGTGGCAGTGCCCAGGGGACAGTGACAAGGGTGGCAGTGCCCAGGGAGGGTGGCAATACCATGGGGACAGTGACAAGGGTGGCAGTGCCCAGGGAGGGTGGCAATGACATGGGGACAGTGACAAGGGTGGCAGTTCCCAGGGAGGGTGGCAATGACATGGGGACAGTGACAAGGGTGGCAGTGCCCAGGGAGGGTGGCAGTGCCCAGGGGACAGTGACACAGGGGTGGCAGTGCCCTGGGGATGGTGACAAGGGGGTGGCAGTGCCCTGGGGACATGTGACAAGGATGGCAGTGCCCAGGGAGGGTGGCAATGACATGGGGACAGTGATGGAGGTGGCAGTGGTCTGGGGATGGTGACAGGGGGGTGGCAGTGCCCAGAGGACAGTGACAAGGGTGGCAGTGTGCTGGGGACAGCAATGGACATGGCAGTGCCCTGGGGAGAGTGACAGTGGGGACAGTGACAAGGGTGGCAGTGCCCAGGGAGGGTGGCAGTGCCCAGGGGACAGTGACAAGGGTGGCAGTGCCCAGGGAGGGTGGCAATACCATGGGGACAGTGACAAGGGTGGCAGTGCCCAGGGAGGGTGGCAATGACATGGGGACAGTGACAAGGGTGGCAGTTCCCAGGGAGGGTGGCAATGCCATGGGGACAGTGACAAGGGTGGCAGTGCCCAGGGAGGGTGGCAGTGCCCAGGGGACAGTGACACAGGGGTGGCAGTGCCCTGGGGATGGTGACAAGGGGGTGGCAGTGCCCTGGGGACATGTGACAAGGATGGCAGTGCCCAGGGAGGGTGGCAATGCCATGGGGACAGTGATGGAGGTGGCAGTGCCCAGGGGACGGTGACAAGGGGGTGGCAGTGCCCAGGGAGGGTGGCAATGCCATGGGGACAGTGACAAGGGTGGCAGTGGTCTGGGGATGGTGACAAGGGGGTGGCAGTGCCCGTTGACAGTGACAAGGGTGGCAGTGGTCTGCAGACAGTGACACGGGGGTGGCAGTGCCCAGGGGATGGTGATGGAGGTGGCAGTGCCCAGGGAGGGTGACAGGGGGGTGGCAGTGGTCTGGGGACAAGTGACAAGGATGGCAGTGCCCAGAGAGAGTGGCAGTGCTTTGGGGACAGTGACAAGGGTGGCAGTGCCCAGGGAGGGTGGCAGTGCTCTGGGGACAGTGATGGAGGTGGCAGTGTCCAGGAGATGGTGACAAGGGTGGAAGTGTCTTGGG